AGTTCCCTACTGGAAGGCATGTGGACTCCCTGTTTAACATATAAAAAGTTTAGGCTGCTTCCGCAGTGATACCTGTTATCTCTTTCTAATTGAAAGAGCCAGAGTTGTCCTAATTGACACAAGTCCTTATTACCTACTAACTTATTCAAATCTTATTTATACATGGACGCGCAATTACTGGAACACCAGAAGGTACACACGTAGTTGTAGGAACTGACTAGCAGTTTCGGGTGAAGTCAGGATGATGGAAGCTGTCGTAACTTATGTGATCTCATTAAAGAAGTAAAATAGGAAAAAATAGCTCAGAAAACAAAATTGGACTAAAGAAATCAATCTCAAACAGTCTCTTTGTACCACTAATCCCTGAAATCGCGACTGGATGCAAACATTACGACGTTTTGAGCACTTCTGCAGTTTTTTATGCATTCGAACGCAACCTTGATGCTAGGGGCGCTCAGTGAAGTGGAACTCGCTATGGAACGCAAGTTATTTCTCCCCAAGTTGACGGATGTGCACCTAGGTCCGTTTATAATGCCAACAAATAAGCCGTGCCCTCGTCTAATCAGACTATTCGTGCCAGTGAAATGGAGGCGACGGTAGTGGAAATGACTGCTACATATTTCACTGATGGCAACACAGGTGGCGTGGTTCAACATCTAGTTGACTTTTAAAGTAGGAGATCACTTCAGATTCTACGCACCTCTGGACCACCTTAGAGGCTGACATAACCCCAGCCTAATGTCGAAGCGCCGACTAGAATAAGGACTGTTTATTATCGGCTGGAAAAGTATTGGGTGCAGCCTTGCTGACACTAGCTGATAAAACAACATGGGGTGGCTGGTTGGAATAGGTTATTTTCAAGTGTATTTCCTACACCTGAGGAATGCTTACCCTTGAATGGTGCCCAAACGAGGTGTCAACAACCTCAATAAAAAGGGCATAGAAAATAGGAGGATAAGGTTTCTCTGTTATTGCTTCCCTCCTTCGTTGCGGTAGTTGTTGCACAAAACCAAAAGCAACTCCTAATTCTTCTGCGCTGCAAACTTGACCAGTAAGCTGTGGGAGGTGGTACTTGTTACGCTGAGCATCCCAAACAAAATGAGTAGTCAAACCCCCGGTCAAACAAATGGTTATCTTTTAGGCATCTCTGATTGAAGGTATTTCGTAGAAGTCGCGTTAAAATGGTAACTGGATTTGCTTTGTTTACTAATCACCGTAACCACCCAGACCTCAGAGGTGACAAAATAACCCGCTGTCATATGTCTCTTCTTCCAAGTCAATGCCATGTAGGTGTAGAATGGTGAATAATTATTACAATGTGGTGCATGTCAGTTGTTACAGCTGCATCCATATTAGCTAGCCCACTCTCATGCACCTCGGAATAGTGCCTGTTTAAATGGCCTCGATGAGGTTACAATTGTTTGAAGTGATAATATTTAAATGGCCTTTTTGCAGAAAAAAATAAAAAAAATAGTTGGAGAAATAAACACTGGGAAATAGACGAAAACGACGTTGGAGAATCAATGTGGAACTCCCACCACTTGGCTTATCCATGCACTATGATGTGTTGCTTTTCCATTTAAGTAGTATTAGCCGTGCCTTCATGATCAATTTGACTACGCCATCAGCATCTTCGTTTCCATCTAATTCAGTCAGTACTTATTGTTGTGGTAGTCCTTTTTCTAGACACACCCCACTGAAGTAGTGGCATAATTTTCCGGAAGTATTTGTGCCGCTCTAACTGCGCAGCGTTGGCACTTCCTCTACATCCCAACAGCACACTATAACTCCTCTCTCAACTTCCCTTTTTGTCCTCTGCATCCATGACTTTTCTACCAATTCACTTGACTACCACCCCTATCTCCCAAATTAATTACTCTTCTGTCTCACCCAACGACAAACTACTTTCACACTGTCCACTTCAAAATCGCCTCACTTTCAAAGACAAAGAAGCAATTACTTTGCCCTTACGCATGAGATATAAGTTGATTAGTAGGTGTGGAATGCAAAGTAGTGAGGTACACGGGGTTACACACACTCCAATGCAGGAATAGTATGTTCCATGTGAATGGCTAAAATGTACTACTGATTCCCTCAACGTTCACTGGAAGTGACCGATTGTGAGATCCACTAATTCCCGCGTTACATCCACGGCCTCTGGCCACGCAGTGTTCTTCGTCCACACCTCTAATATTTCTTATGTCCTGCCTTCCTTCCTCCGCCTCCTTTTGCCCTTCATCCAGAAGAGTACAAAGAGGGAGACATCATGCATCCTGGAGGTGGGATGATTGAGCTTCCGATTAATGCGCCGAAATCTATTCTTAACCACCATTGACCACGAAATTGTAAATACACCCTTGGCCATGTATGCATTAGCCTTTATGGCATGCGTTTACGTTATGACGATGGTACGTAGCATTTGACTGCTACAGTTTTGGTGTCCCCTCCTGACACTCAGGCCATCAATGCTGGCCAGGTCGGCTTCTACACGACCCCACCCAGATGCAAACCAAGAACAACATTTTGAGCAAAAACAAAATCACTATCAAATCACATTCTCAGGGATGAAGTAGCAGTGGTTGTTGTAGGGGAAAGTAACAAACGAGTTGGATTAATCTTCTCTTTCTTTTTCGCACTTGGAATAGTTCTGACTCTGGCGACAAGAAAAGGAGATATGAGGGGACGACAATAATAAGGAAGACGAAATGCGGTAAAAATGCGGAAACAGAGGAAGATGCGTGCAACCTACGGGGGTGTGGGGAGATCCCACTTCGCTATTATCACCAACCTGAAAGTACGAAGTGTGGTGATAATGATGGTGATGAGAGTAATGGCGACAGAGATGCTATTTACAGCAAGGAAGGTCGTTGTGCAGAGGTCCAAGGATCCGGTGGAGGTGAGAGCTGCCTCATCAGTTGAGGTCGGAACTACAAAGTTAATGGAATCATTCTCCACCCCAGTCGAAGGTGATGGCAGTGAAGGCGTCCCAATCCTAGCAAAAGGTGTGAGTCGTTTTACTGAGCGCAAACACTTTACCTTAGGTGGAGTTCTGTTAGAAGGATCTAAAAGCCAGTATATACTAAACAATAATAGCAAAAAGGCACTAAAGTTAGACATAGCACTTCCTTTAAGCACATTCCAAATTGGCAGCCGTATCTAGAAATCTAACCGTTGCCTACAGGACGCGTCATGCTTCACAGTTGAATACATTGCAGTAATCCATGAAAGCGAGAACCACATGCACATAAAATAACTCCATGTTTCCCTCTATGTTGCAAAGCATCAAACATTGAAAATTGCGAAATCGTGACTTGACATGTCGATCAAAGAAGATTCAGAATTTTCTTGCATATAAATTTTAAAAGCTGAAAAGAGGTGAGGTATTTTCGACTCTCTCCACTTCGTCCACTACATGGGTAAACTGTATATGAACGCAGTGAAGTAAATCAAGCAGACGAATATACCTAGCAAAGTCCATCATTTTTACCAAGTAGTAACACAACTGATAGATAAAAAGGAAGAAGACAATACTAGAATTAGGCAGTCGTCCTCCAACTAAGACGATTGCAAGATTTTCTATTGGGGTTGAGACAAAGTAGATTATGTGTTCAGGAGCCGCGGAATAATGTGCTGCTCCCATGGCGATACGCTGAATGTCTCGAAACACACCCACAAGCCAGTTGACTTTCCGCTAAGGTGAGAAGACATTTTATCCCAACACTCAACTCCGTGTAGTCATCTGATAGCGACGCAATAATTCAACAACGCGACTTACCTCAAATCAATTGGGACTTGCAACCCTGATTCAGCCCGTTGGCACCACCGTAGTTGCATGAATCTTCGACTTCTTAGTAAAAGTTACGGTGCGGCGTGCTTCTGTGTCTCCGTCTGCCGCGAAGAAGACTTCCATTTGCACTACATGGCAATAGGCCCCGTAGTTTCGTCGGCGTCCACTGTGCTGACCATCTTCGATATGGCCCACCTCTATGGCTCCAGTGAGCCTCACATTGGCTGGGCGATGGGGTAACTTCACAATATCGTTACCGTGCGTGAATGTACGACAATACATTCTGGTATTCACTCCATCTCCTACCCTGATCTAAATAAAAAGCAATATGCTATCGCTCACCGCTTCTTTTGTCGACCATTGTAGCACCACCACTCAGTGTTTTCGTACATAATGGTCAGGCTTCAAAGAGAAGTCTATAGAATTGTAAATAACGCGGTCTTTTTTTTCATTTTAAATATTAGCACAAATATAAACTATGGTATGGTATTGCCCGATATGATCATGACATTCTACCACACTTTGTGCCACGATTCATTCCAGCCTATGGGTAGGCATCAATGGTGCTATTAGAAATCGGGTGCGCTCGTCTCGCAGTACTGCTGCAGTTTGTGCTACCTGATGGTGGTGTGATGGATGCAGCTGTTGTGGGGGCGCGAGACAAGTCCATACCGGGGCGGCAGAGGAGTACACATGCATACGCGTGTGTGCAAGGCATAAGACGTCTGGACCGCGGTGGCGACAGTGCCAGTGCTGTTGCTGATGCTGGTGGTCGCATGCGTGTCTACGCCTCGTCATGTGTCTTGTAGTCAGGTTGTGGTGTTACATGGGTGGCTGCTGCATACGCTGCGTTGCGTTGCTTTATGCTACCGCTACTGTTGCTGCTGCTGCTGTTGCTGTTGACTACTCAGTAGACGTTACTGGAGCGTGCAGTGGTACAGACATCGTGTCTGCCGCCGCCTCAGTGGCGGTGTTGACATGTGGTGCGTGCAATAGTGCTCTGTGGCTGTAGCGCGGGTTAGTGGTACTCCATGCATTCTACACGAGTGTGCGTTTGAGCTCTTGCACGATTTTGCATGGTGACTACTGCTGCCTGTCTGCCTGCCTGCAAGCCCGCTCGGAGTGTGGGTGTTTGAATGGATAGGTGGGTGGGTGGATGGGTGGCGACAGTAGCACATGCGCCTTACGCAAAGACTACAGTCGCTGTGAGTCATCAGGACTGCTGCTCCTTGTAAGCTGTGCGGTTGGCAGTCTGACAAATGGACGGACGGACGAATGGGCGACTGTGTCAACTAACTGAGTAAATCACTAACTGTATGCGGTGGATCACTTGTCTCGTACGTCGATGAAGAGTGCAGCCAACTGTGTGAATTAATGTGAATCGCAGACTGCTTTGAACATCGACATCTTGAACGCATATTGTGGCCATAGGCTTGCCTGTGGCCACGTCTGTCCGAGCGTCGGCTTGCAAACTATCACTGTGCCCAATAGCAGTGGCTAGGGGGAGTGCCGTCCCTTGTCGTGGCGTGGCGTGGCGTGCCGTGGGTGGAGCGTTTCCTGGTTGGGTACCTGGCTAGCTGGCTCACCGTACAAACTGGTATGGCTTCTCCCTAAGGTGGTGCCGCCGTGGCATCCGGTGAAGTGGGGTTTGTGGTTGTGCTGCCGCAGTGGCAACAGTGCAACCAACCTTTGCACTGTGCTCTGGCGTTGATGGGTGTGTACGCTGGTTGTGCCAATAGGTTGGCGGGTGGTGATGCGGTTGCAGTTGTCGCAATCCACAGACCGTGGCCCAGTGTCCAGATGGGTTGGTGCATGCATATATGTGTGTGCGTGTAGGTGTGATCACGTTGCGCACTTGATGTAAATTGTGAATGCTGCGGTCGATGGGGGGCGCTTTCTTCTTCACTCACCGCAAGTACTTGCATCGTTATGATGCGTTGCACATGTAATGCAATGGGAGGGTGCGCGTCATGCCTCGTCTCGCCTAGCCTTGTTTTCTGACCTCGGATCAGTGGTGGGTATCGGCTGAACTTAAGCATATTAATAAGCGCATGCTGACAGCAAATGTGCTGCGGTGTGCGTACGCATAATTTCCCGCAAAAAATACACAACATGCGTGATGAATAAGTTAACTATAAGTATCGATGATATAGACCTTGTTACACAGATCTTTATCGAAATATTGCATAACCTCCTGGCACGCTTAAATCCATGCAACTAGACATGGCATTTTATCCGTTGACATCTGAATAGTATGGCACAATCCAACGTCTATTATGTGAAATTCATTCAATCCGTGGGACCGCATACCTAATAATTACTGTCTGCTTCTCAAGACTGCTTGCCGTCTGTTGGTTGAATGAAGCTCTACTGAAATACATTTCAGTCTATTTGCGCTCCAATGCTGACAGCAAATATGCTGACGTGTGTGTAGGCATAAATGCTCACAAAAACACACAACATACCTAATAATATACCTAAATGTCAAGAATCCTCCTATTTGTTAGTTGAATGAAGCTCTACTTAAATAGATTTCTGTTTATCAGCAGGTCTAACGCATTAATATTTTACCTTTTAACATGGAGCCAAGACTATAGTAATGTCGAATTTCGTGTTGAAGAAATTCTGCAGAGCGGACAAATTCAATTGCGATGCCATACGAATAAGCTGAATTCCATATTCGTAGTCGTGGTATTGCATCAGTTGACATCCACATAACGTGAAATGCACATAAGTGACCCGCGATTTGCGTCACTCGACCTTCGTCAAATTGATACGCCCACCTCCATAGTAAAGCTTCCACCTCAGCGTGTGAACTGCCTTGGTCTTGGCTCTTATAAAATTGGTCTGAAAACTTGTCAAATTGCTTGCAAATAGATATCTTAATTACGCTAATTGTAGTGGCCGTCTTTAAGCTCGTATACTTGGATGTGCTAGGGAGTACCTCTGAACTCCTAGTTTTTAAAACTCAAATGTTCCACTTACTGATACCACAGGTGGCAATACCTCATCCGAAGCACGACATGTGACAACCACATCAAAAACAACACCACATCGATCAACAACGAAATGGATATTTGACTCCATGAGTTCACTTCACCTTACGCCTTTCATTCATTTTTCAACAAACATTAAAAGTGTTTACAAAACTATGATGTATTAACAAAAAACAATTCAAAGTATGACACTGAATTGTCGAGGCACCATCACAGCTTAGGGAAGGAGATTTAATGAGCAGGAATGGAGAGAGTGAGAAATTTAGACGGTCATGCCAGAAGAAAAAAATTCATCATTTTTGTGTCCTGTGATCCCTTCAGCGCATTGTCTTCAAACACCTTGCAATGGCAGCAGTAAATCAACACTAACAAATCCCAACTACAATCCACTTTGCATGGCAGGCTCTGCATTTGTGCTCAATTTATGCACCGCCAACATCTGAACCTGCAAAGCCAAGGCAACAAGCATGCGTTATGGAAAGTCTCATTCATTACGAAGGACAATGAAGGATAAACAGAACAGCTGCTTTACATTTACAAAAAGGACTCGTGATGTAGCGAAACTGAATTTATGGAGATAAATGAAAGACATTCCAGGGGAAGAAAAAGGCAAATGACCCAGCACCGATAAAAAGGATTATTTGTTGCATCTCGCAGTCTTAATAAATCAGTGTAGTACGAAAGTACATAGTACTTACTAGTGGAGAGAGTGGCTGGGCTATTAGCATGGCCCTAAAGCCATCCCGCAGAGCTGAAATACAATCTACAGGGACTCAAGTCCCCACGCAGTTAAACAAAATACTAAATCACCACAGTACAAATTAGGGACCTCTATAGGAGCCTGGATGGCACAAATTTTCTTCTAGAAAAAAAATCAACATAGTAGACTTCACGGATAGGAAGTGAAAGCCCATTACTCCATCAAGATTCTATGACAAGTTTAGTCTTAAGATAGAGACTTCACCTCTTTGGTTAGTAGCCTTTAAAAATAGTTTCACTTTCAAAATATAGTAACATATGCGTAAATTTAAAAAGTGAAAGAATAAAACTGCTATGCTAAAACAGAGGAGGATAACTACACGACAGAAATTCCTCCTCACTCGATCGTCGGCGATCAGACTGTGGCAACGTTTTGGAAAAAAATTGGAACGAACAACTTTGAACTTTCAACCATCACCATTTGAAATACTAAAGCACTAGCCATTACCCAAATTAAACACCTTAAAAGATTAAAAGGCTCTTTTGACCGAATCATGCATTTTAAGGTAAACTACAGATAGGACAAAAGTCGACAATTAAAGAAAACTTCATTACGCGCTTAATAAAGACACTAATGCTAATGACAGCGAATTCCAGGTTAAAAGAAAACTGAGAAAACAGTTTTATATCTCATCACCAATAATAAAATTGATGGTAAAAGGGACAGAAGCAACAACACGGAGGCCAAATGCGGAAACAGTATGCGTCAAGCAACCACCTCAATTCCAACGTGACTGGCTACGGCTGAAAATAATAGCATCGCTTTCGTTTAAAATGGAGCTCAAATAGAAGATTGATAAAAATGAGAGTATGGAAAAAAAAATGACTACAACTTTGTAGAAAGTGGATTTTGAGAAAAATAAAGTGTGATAATTAGAAAAATTGAGGAGCACACTTGAAGTGTTGGAGGAGCAGAAATCAAAGTAGTATGTTATTAAATGAAGAAAAAGAGTGAATAGTTAAACTGTGTGGAATAGGATAATCATGGCGAGTTATAAAATACACCAGGATAGCTGAAAGCCTTACCCATCTAAAAATTCGTATCATTAATAAGGTATGTAGTGAAGCAAGAGAGAAACACACTTTCTATGCTTGCTCAGACCTTCAAACAGATACAACGATTGAGTACACTTCCAAATGAGCACAACCTTATTGTTCAAAGTGGTTAAAATAATTGCTAGCGGACAATAATGTCCATGGAATTTGCATTGAGATGGAGAGAAGAGGCATTATTTTGGATGAAGCCAACTGCCTGACATTTTGGGATCCAGAACAACTGTTGATACCGGCAGGGAGGAAGCTAAGCATGCCTGCAAAACTGCCAGAACCTAAGCGTACCTTGACAAATCAAGATTCGCAGAAAGTGGAATAAATAATTGTGTTAGCAGAAAAAGTACGTACCTTTGGCAGCTAAATAGTTCATCAATCTCGCAAGCTATTCACCAGTTTTTCCGCCTTTACAGCAAGCACCGACAACTACTTGATATATAACTGTTTTTTAGATCAAACTGAGGTAAACACATTTGACTTTCACAGATCTTTTACTATTCTTTCGATTCCCAAAAAAGTTGGATAACTTTGCTACTCCCTCCTGCCATTCGGCTACTACGCTACCAAACAATGTGCTAACCCTCTAAGCCCTTTGAAGGATTAAATCTAAAAGGAAAAGACTTATTCTTCAGCGATTTTGCTCCCCGCTAAAACATTACAGAAGGAAATTTGGGTCCGCAAAGATATTGAGTACCACCTTAAGCGCAGTGACCAATGATGAGGTCAAGTCGCAGATTGACTAAAGCGCAGCACTTATCAACAAATTGCAATAATGAGTGCCATAAAGAAGCAGCATCACTTATCAGCCAAAAATAAATACATTAAACCATTTGATAGAAAGCACGAAAAATACTCTGCTACCAAACAAGCTCAAGTTAATATAAGCGAAGCCACTGACGAATTCGGAAGCATTAAGCGATTAAAGGGTGTCCAGTAGTAACTCACGATTATGCAACTTCTTGAGCTGCGCAATTGAGGCAAGACTGGAGATAGAGAGCTGACCTCCTCCTCGTCCTCCGCTTCCACTAATCTTCTTGCAACCTCACAAGCCTCTTTCGCTTAGCAAATCCCACATCCACCGGAGCTTTAGTCGACGCTATTCGACAACACACCATTTGTTGGGCTAGCAAAAAAGCATTAACTAAAAACGAAAGTCACTTTTAACAGGGTGATATTCAGTCAACAGAGCCTGAGTTTGTTGTATAATGCACGGCCTGACGATAGCGAGAAGGTAGAGTTTGAGATGTTAGGCATCAGCATCAGTCACGCCCGCGTCTCCGCCACTCAGAATGCGTGTTATGAACCTTTTTAGAAACTCCTCTGCAGCCCCAGAGGGTCAACGGTGACGAAATGTGCAAGATTAAAGTACTTCAGAAGATCACTAAGAATGGAGGTCCTCAAGAGAAGAAACCCTCTTGGGCAGTTTAGCTGAGTCACTGATTAGGATGTCTGATTTCCAGAATTCTTCAAACTGAAACCATTAAAAATAAGCAAAGAATAACCCATTGCATGATCCTACCTCATCAAAAATAACTAAGCCATCAAAGCCTTGTGCATCTCCCCTACCTGCAGTCAAAATCTCTTAGATGAGCAAAATCGGAGTAGCTATCTTCAGGCCCCTCTACAACATAAACACGGCTAAAACGGCTGTGTAAGAGATGGATTGCCCGCCTAGTCTTCCATCTGCTTTATCGTTAGCGTCAGGATCAACAGCCAAATGGTTCACGCTACCATATAGCAACTTATACAACTCATTAGTGCAGTGTTCAGGCAAACTGCTTGGTGTGACAACGACGATTTTGTCGTTCTCTGGCCTTGCCTCCTGACTTTGCGTCTATCAGCATTTGAATGATTCTTGTTCTTTTATGAAAAATGTGCTGAGTTTGTGCCAATTCTACCTTTCTGCTTTATCTCATGGGACATTTCAACTCTTGTAGAATATTGGAATATCTACCGGCTTTTGCGGCTGTCAAATACCTGCATTATCGTAATACTGTGCTGTGCTACTA